GGGGGGAGTCTCTCTGCCTGGAGCATATTCTGCACCCCCAACCACCCCCCCCCACACACACACACACCAGCTCCCAGCCCCCTCTCAGGGGAGAGGCCTGCTGCTAAGAGCAGCCAGTGACCTGCCTGCCTCTGCTTGGTGCCGCGCAGCCTGGGAATTTGTACGCTCACTCCTGCGTCTTGGAGAGGAAAACGTTTTTATAGAACGGCACATATACTCCTATGAAATGCTTTCTCTGGAAATAAAAAAAAGACAACCATTAGTGAGCTGGAGCGAAGGGCTTTAAATGTCCCCAGGGAGCCCTCAGGAAGCAAGGCCGCAGGAAAGCAGTGGGAGAGGGGGCTGAGAACAGGGCACCTCGGAACAGCATGCAGAGCTGCCTCCTGGAGCTCCCTACCCACCCGACCCCTGTTCGTGTCCCCCACCCCATAAGGCTCCCTCGTATGAACTTCCTTTTAAAAAAATGTACTGTGTTGGGTCCAGAGTGATAAGTACAGTGGGTAGGGAGTTTGCCTTGCACACAGCCAATGCAGGTTTGATCCCCAGCACCCCAGATGGTCCCCTGAGCCTGCCAGCAGTGACCCCTGAGTGCAGAGCCAGGAGTAAGCCCTAAGCATGTCCAGATGTGTACCCCCCAGGAGACACTCCCAGCAGTGCTCGGGGGACCAGAAAGAGCTAGGAATCCAACCCAAGCTCCTGCCTGCCCAGCCTGTGCACTGGCCTCTCATCCAAACTTTTCTGTTTGCATCTGAAGTCAGGGCCCAGCTTGCCCCCGGTCTACCCTACAGGTTGTTGCGCTGAGTGAGGCCGCCCCAGAGGTGAGAAGTCAATTGGCCGCTCTCAGAACTGTCCATCGCGGCGGGGTCTGCCCGTACAGTTCTCTGAGCCCCTGGGGAGTTGGGGTGGGGCGTCTGGGTGCACCCCAAGGGTCCTGGGGGGAGGCAGGGATGGAGATATGGGACAGACAGGAGATAAGATGATAAGCCAGGCCTGGCCACCAGATGGTGCCTGGTTCTTGCTTGCCAGCTGTGTGACCTTGGGCAGGATGCTTCACCTCTCAGAGGCTCACCCAGACAAGGACAAAACCCTTCCTCTCTCTGAGTTTTGGCGTGAGGAGCCCGGGACCCAGGTGTAGGGTATTGTCTCAGGGCAGAGAGGCCCAGCCAAGTGGGCTGTGTGGATCGTGGAGCCTCACGACCCCGAATCCTCTTCCGAACTCCATCTCCGTGTCTTTCCTTTTCCCTCCTTGCTGGGTCTGCAGTAAGTCATGCTCATCTGTTCCTCCTCTCCCCGCACCTGTGGGCCCAGAGGTCAAGCTTCACCCTCCAGCCCAGAAGCTTCCATGCAACTTACAACGAGCTGTGTATGTTCTCCCGGCACAGCTGGGAGGTTTACACTGGCCTCCAATGTGGCTGAGTTTCACAGTCAAGTGAGCAGAGTAACACCCCCTGGGTTAGCAAGTCAGAGCTCACGTGGCCACTGTCCACGCTGCCTGCCCCCGTGTGAGCGGTCACCTCCTCTGCCTGGAGCCCCTCCTTCCATCCTCACGCTCTCAGAATCCCCAGCCAGACCCTGCTCTTTAACTTCAGTGAGTCAGCAGGTAGGATATTTGCCTTGCACACAGCCGACCCAGGTTCGATTCCTGCATCCCTCTCAGAGAGCCTGGCAAGCTACCGAGAGTATCCCGCCCGCACGGCAGAGCCTGGCAAGCTCCCCGTGGTGTATTTGATATGCCAAAAACAGTAACAACAAGTCTCACAATGGAGACGTTACTGGTGCCTGCTCAAACAAATCGATGAGCTACGGGAGGACAGTGCAGTGCTACAGTTCACATCACTTCCTCCTCCAAACTGTTGGGTTTTTTAAAATAACTTTATTTTATCTGATTCTAGCAGAATACATAGGAATTCGAAAGAATACACAAGTGTAAAGTAGCTTTAGAAAATGCCCAAAAGGCCCACGCCTGCAGCTCGTCAGTCTTTGCTCTCACTGCATAAGTCTGTGCAGACTTGCCCCTGAAATTTCGGTCGCCCTCTCTTGCTTCTCCTTCTCTTGGGCCTCCCCACCCCCTGACTTCTGTTCTTACCTCACCCATGCTGACACCTGGTGCACCTGAGGATCTGCTTGGCACCTTGCTTGAAGATGCCCGTGCCGTGCTCCTAGCTGGCTGGAAAGAGAGGCTTGTGTTTGGAGAAATGGGAGGATTCCCCTTGCTCAGAGTGACCCCAGAGGTGCAGGCAGAGAGGGATCAAGCGATCCCCCCAAATCACGGAGAAAATTTGTGAAAAATGGTGTGTTAAGTGCACCATTTGGGGGGCAGCAGGGGGCTTGGAATCACACCCTGTAGTGCTCAGGGCTGACTCCTGGCTCTGCACTCAGGGATCACTCCTGGTGGGGTGCAGGGGACCATATGAGCTGCCTGGGATCAGACCTGGTCGGCTGAGTACAAGGCAAGCGCATGCTGGCCGCACATGCACCAGTTGTTAAGCCTTTTTAGATTATAACACACCCACTGAGGCTTGGGGATTCTGGGGCTGCCTGGGAATGAGAAGAGGAACCTGGATCCACACCCTGTTTCCCTCTTTCCTCGTCATATGACATTGGGCACATCAAGCAAACTCTGAGCCTTAGTTCCCCCATCTGCCAATTAGGGCAGACAAAGACACCCCGGGATGGGCGGAGGGTGGTTTGGGGAATGAAGTGAAAGCCAGCAAGTCACACGGTGCCTGCCTGTGGGGCGAGGCCCGCCCCAGCTCCTTCCCAGATGATTAGCATGTTAGTTAGCAACTTCCAATTATTCCCAACCTTTGTGGGGGCTGATGAAAAGATGTTCTTCCTGCCTTGACATCCCCCTGGAGATTAAAAAAAAAAAGAAAGAAAGAAACACCTCACCCAGGAACTGATTAGAGAAGAAGGTAGTCCATTATAAGTGCTAATTGCAAGGCCCAGACTATTTGCAAACTGAGTTAGGGCCCCCGGAGAGCCCTGGCATGCTGGGCCCTCAGGGAAGTTCAGATGCACAGAGAGAGCCCTCCCCTGCCTGTCTACAGAGCCCGGGAGATGCTATCTGGGTTGGGCCGCAGATGGGGATGTGTAGCTTCAGGATTCTTATCTCTGTCTTCCCGGCTTTTCATCTATCACACATCCCCAGTGTGTTCGTAAATGACAGCGCTGAGGGGCCCAGGGAACAGGAAGTCAGCTCTCACTGAGAACATGAAATGAGACCCAGCAAGATCAGATGCCCAGAGCAGAGAGGAAATTACAAACTGCTCAGAGTGGAGACCTCCAGCCGGTTCTGGCCTCGAGCAGGGAACAGAATGGCCGTTCCTCAGGGTTCTCTCCAGTGCGACTGTCGTCTGTCTTGGTTTTCCTGACCGGAAAATCGATCAGAGCCTCTAAGCCTCAGAGCCGGGCATTGAGTCTGCAGTGCAGTCCCCTAGCAAGGTCCTCAAGAGCATGAGTCTTTGGAGGCAAACTGTTCTCTCTGCCACTGACTGGCTGTGTGATTCTGAGCAAGTGACTTAGCCTCTCTGAGTCTCTCTCTCTATCTCTGTCTGTGTATGTGTGTGTGTGTGTGTGTGTGTGCGCGCGCGCGCGCGCGCGCACATGCGCGAACCATCAGAAAGAATCCCTTTCCTGGGTTATTTTGAGCTTTCAAAGAAATGATCTACCACAGTGCTTACGGTGGAACAGTGATGGTAGCTCATTTTTGTATTATTAAAGTAAGATTGGCATAAAAACAGAGCACTTTGTCTGTACCCAAATAGTGGGTGTTCGAAGTACACATTTCACTGGCTGTTTCTGAAAGGCTGAGAGATGGCGTGGGGTGGGAGAGAGAGCCAACAAAGTTGGTGCCAGAATCCAGGTCACCTCATTCGATGTTTCACTTTGTTGTTGTTATTGTTTGGTTTTGGGGGCCACACGTGATGGTGCTCAGGAATTACTCCTGACTCTGTGCTCGGGGATCACTCCAGGTGGGGCTGAGGGAACCGTAGGTGGTGCTGGGGATCTGACCCTGTGCTTGCAAGGCAAGTGCCTTCCTTGCCATACTATCGCTCCAGCCCTCATTCAGAGTCTTTCAAAAAATAATTATTTTAGGTGTCAGAAAGATAGTACAGCTAGTACAGTAGGTGAGGTAATTGCCATGAACATGCTGACCCCATTACCATCTATGATCCCCCCAAACCCTCACAGGAGGTGTTTCCCTAAGCACAGAGCCAGGAGTATGCCCCAAGCATAGCCAGATGTGACCCCCCCAAAACAAAACAAAAATATTTTACTGTAATAGATAGTATTAAAATTTTAAATCAGTGCATGACACTGAGCGATAGCACAGTGGTAGGGCATTTGCCTTGCGCGCAGCCAGCCCGACCGAGCCGGGTTCGATTCCTCCGCCCCTCTCGGAGAGCCTGGCAAGCTACCGAGAGTATCTCGCCTGCATGACAAAGCCTGGCAAGCTACCCATGATGTATTCAATATGCCAAACACAGTAACAACAAGTCTCACGATGGAGACGTTACTGGGCCTGCTCGAGCAAATCGATGAACAATGGGAGGACACAGTGCATGACATTTATGTTTTGATAAGATGGGAAGGACCATTTAAAAAATGCACATCTTAACTACACACAGTGCACACTGTTATGTTATTTATTTAGTACATTTGCAATTCCGTGACTTCAATGATTGGGTCCTAATCAAAGTCTGGAAACTCTGATTGAGAGGAGAGAAGTGAGACCTCAGGAAAGTTTTTCTCTCACGAGCACCATTGTCCTGGCTCCAAAGTGCATGGTGGTGCGGGAACACGGGCTCTAGCCTTGCTCTTTGGAGAGAGCCCGGCCGGGTGCAGTGGAGACAGAGAAGAGCCGTTTCTGCCCCCAGAACCCACCTGGAGCCCCCTGGGACTTGGGGGCCGGGGGTGCTGGGCGCTGCTTCTCCCCAAAGACCTGGGTGGTATGGAGTGGGATGTAACCATGTTGGTCTCCCCCTTTTGTGCCCCAGCAGCCTTCCTGACAGCGAGATGGGAGAGGACTCCAGGTACTGTCTGGGAACCATTGTGAGGGTGGGTCCCCAGAAGGAAAGGGGCCTGGCAGGGTGGGCACGGAATCAGGCGGTGCAGCCCACCCAGGCTTTGGAAGGGAAGCATTCCCGTCTGGGGGAGGGGACACTTGCAGATCACAGCACGGCTCATGGCTTCCAAAGGACCGTGTGAGCTCTCTCGCGTGGGTATAAGAGGGTGTTGGGTGGCAGGGGGCGGGGGGGGGGTGGAGGTGGGGGGCTGGGGGGAGGGGTGGAGTGGACAGAAGCAGACCTGGACTGCCAGGGAGGGGGCTGGTGGGAAGGGAGAGGGGGCATGACTACGGAGGAGTCGGGCTTTCTCCCCAGGGCTATGGTGATGTAGAGGAATTAGACAGGGGTGATGGTGGGGCAGCCTCATGAGGACAATAAACACCCTGACCTGGACATGAGCTGTGGCCGGGAGAAGACAATCAGAGAAAATATGTGTGAGAAGGCCACAGCGTTGTCATTTAAAAATGGCAGCTGATGGGGCTGGAGCGATAGCACAGCGGGTAGGGCATTTGCCTTGCATGCAGCCGACCCGGGTTCGATTGTCAGCACCCCATATGGTTCCCTGGGCACCTCCAGGAGTAATTCCTGAGTGCAGAGTCAGGGGTAACCCCTGTGCACCGCCGGGTGTGACCCAAAAAGCAAAAAGAACAAACAAAACAAAACATGGCAGCTGAGAAGCACCCTCAGCAGGAACAGTGGGTGTTAGGAAAGAGAGAAGAGGAAGCCCACCCTAGCTATGTGCGGGTCTGAACGCCTCACTCGGGTAGTAGAATCATAGGGTCCCTGACCCCCCAAAACCCTCCCACCTTGCACCCCCCCCCCCCAGGAATAAGCGAGGCCCTCTGGCCGGGGATAGCATCTGTGGGCAGGCTGATGCCCACTTGTCAATGATTTGCTCTTCTGAACTCTGCATCCCAGCACCCACAAGGACCCGCATTCGGGGGCGCTCTCTGCCCTCTCTCTCACCAGTGCCAGGTGATGACGACAGGCCCAGCCTCTGTCACCCCTCACCCCGTACCCACAGTTCTGGAGCCAAAATCCAGACCAGACAGTGCATGACAAATGCAGACATATGTAGAGACACAGAATAGGGCGCTGGGAGGGCTCCAGGCAGCCCGAATGTGCAGGTACTGTGCTGGCCACTCCCTCATGGCTCCCCGAGCGTCCATACTTGTCTTCTGGAAGGGTCACGTGTGGCCTTCTCAGTGGCCCCCTTCCCTGGGCTGTAGCCCCCCCACCCCGACACTCAGATCAAGCACCCCGGTCCCCAGGGCCTTGTGGCATCACATTGGCCCACAGCCTCATCTGCCTTTGAACCCCAAAACACGGTCAGGTCAGCGGGAGCCCATGTTGGGGCTCAGGCTGCCCCACTGCAGGAAATTCCCCTTCCAACCTCCCCCTCACCAGGGTCCCAGGGGTCCCCTTCTGTGCATTTCTGACACTGCCCTGGGCTCAGGTCATGGAGGGGTGCCCCCAGGTGGCACCTCCATGCCTGTCCCCTCTGCTGTGGTGGCTGCAGATTGGGTCACAGACCACAAAGGCGCGGTCAGGCTGGGTGTGGGGGGCACCCGTGTCCCAGAGAAACGGGAAGCCTGAAGCCGTGTCCTTCCTTTCCTGCCGCAGCCCGGAGCGGGAGCCTGGGGCCGACTCGGATGTCAGGTACAGGGGATTCGGGCTGGCTGTTCTTGGGCCAAGGAGCCTTGAGTTGCAGCCCAGCCTGGGGGGTATTCTGCAGAGCTGCCTCCTTCCTTTGTCCTGCCTGGATCCTCTGTATTGGCCTCACGGTTCCCTATGGGCTTCCAAACCCATCTCTCTCTCTCTCTCTCTCTCTCTCTCTCTCTCTCTCTCTCTCTCTCTCTCTCCTCCCTCCCTCCCTCCCTCTCTCTGTCTCTGTCTCTTTGTCTCTGTCTCTGTCTTTTTCTCTCTCTCTCTCTGTCTGTCTCTCTATCTCTCTCTTGATCTCTCTCTGTCTTTGTCTCTCTCTGTCTCTGTTTCTGTGTGTCTCTCTCTTCTCTCTCCTCTCTCTCTGTCTCTGTCTCTCTCTTTCTCTGTCTGTCTTTCTGGCTCTCTATCTCCATTTCTCTCTCTATCTCTCTGTCCTCTCTCTGTCTCTCTCTGTCTCTTTCTGTCTCTTTCTATCTCTGTCTTTCTCTCTCTGTGTCTGACTCTGGCTCTCTGTCTCTCTCTGTCTCTGCCTCTCTGTTTCTGTCTCTCTGTCTCTCTTTTTCTCTGTCTTTATCTCTGTCTCTCTCTGTCTCTCTCTGTCTCTCTCTCTCTCTCTGTCTCTCTCTCTCTCTGCTCCCTGCTGACATCTAAGGGTTAGACATCACCCCAGGAGGCTGGGGATTTGAGGTCACCCCTGGGCTCCTCCCTGCCTCTGACAGACTTCAGGGTAGTGACAGAGCAAGGAGGGGGTGACCACCCCCCAGATCCCCACCCCAGTTCTGAGCATCCAAACTTGCCTGCAGCCCTATAGGGAAAGAGAGGCTCCCTCAGGTGACACCGAGCAGATTTCTGCAGCTGCCCCTTCCCACCACTCCCTCCCTGCCCGCCACCCGCCTGTCAGTGGCCTCTGGGGACCCCCGACTCCACCCCTGCTCTGTTCCAGGCGGAGAGGCCCCGTGGCCTACGCTTCCCAGAAGCCCTGGCTGCTCAATGCGACAGTGGAGGAGAACATCACCTTCGAGAGCCCCTTCAACAAACAGCGGTAAAAGCCTCGGGCTGGGATGGAGACCAGCAGGGCTGGGCCGGGCTTGGCTAGCAGGTCCCTGAGTCCCAGCCGGTGGCCCTGCCGCCCCCTCTGTCCTCTGTCCCCCCACCCGCCCCCTACCTTCCCGTGACTCCCTGGGTTCCAGCCTGTCCCAGAGGGTCCGTCTGGACAGAATCCAGATGTCCTGGCCTGGGCCTCGGGGATGCCCAGCTTTGGGGGGGCTTCTGGGGGAGCTGGTCCAGGCCTTCTAGATGTTAGCTGACTCCCGCTGCCAGTGTCCAGGCCCTGAGCCAGGCTCCCTCTGGTGATAATAATAGCGGCATTCCTGCAGGATGGCAGGGGAGGGATCATGGTGGCCCCCTAGGACCCCTCCCCACCATCCCAGGATGACACAGATGCTATTTCTAGCCCCATTTTGCAGCTGGGGGAAACCCAAGTTGGAGAAGGCTTGGTCTCTTGCTCCTCGCCATTCAGTGACAGAAACTGGTCTCGAATCCAAGGCTGCCTGACAACTCACAACCCGAGCTGGCACCCGCCCACGCTGAGTGGGCCAGAGAAGGAGGACAAGCGCAGGCTGGGCAAATATTTGCCAAACCATCATCATTAGGGCCTGAAGCAACCCACTGTGATTTTTTTCCCTGGCAGCGCCCCAAGTCTGGGTTCTGGCCCTCACTTCTCCCAACACACAGGGCCCTGGGGTTCTCTTTGGTCATTTAGGCGGCATATTTGTTCTCATCCAGTTTCATCCTTCAAATATTTAACTTGCCCCGAGACCGCGTGAGGAGCTGCCCTCAGCTCTTTTCAGGCTCACGGGGTGTTTGCTCGCGCCCAAGCAGGAGGCCCATTAGTGCCACCACCCAGCCCGTGCCCAGCTGCCCAGACACTAATGACTCCAAGTACTGATGACCCCACTCCAGCAGCCTGAGCTCCTATGTCCCCTCTCCAGGTACAAGATGGTCATCGAGGCCTGCTCCCTGCAGCCGGACATTGATATCCTGCCCCACGGAGACCAGACCCAGATTGGGGAACGGGTCAGTAAAGCCTGCCAGCATGTTCTCAGTCTCTCAGACAACCCACCCTCCCCCGCTGACCTCCACTGGGCCCCAAGGTCCTTCTAGAGAGAGCAGGTCACTGGGAATTGAGAGGGTACAGCCTGAAGAGCCACAGACAGTGGGGTTCAGATGAGGACTTTCAACCCAGGGAAGCTGAGAAGATCCAGGGTAGGTTCTTAGCCCTGCACAATCAAAGATCAGATTAGCACCTCCCCGCCCGAAGGTGACTGGCAGCCCCTTCTTGCCTTCCTGCAGGCCCCGGAGCTCACCCGGAGCCACACAATTCTGTGCCTGGCTCAGGGTTTTCTTCCTGAGCCGTTTCCACATGGGGATCCCTTCTCCACAAGCTCATACAAAAGGATTCTCTGTGATTGTCCTGTGCTTGATTTAAATAACTGCTTCCTGGAACTGGGGCATAGCTGGAGCACACGCTTCGCACGCGAGAGCCCCAGATTTTGATCCCCCAGCATGGGTCCCTGCCTGATTGCCAGGAGCAGCCCCCAAGCACCAAGCCCAGAGTAGCTCCCAAAGCACTGCTGAGTATGACCCAACCCCCGCCCCCAGCTCCCCACTCCCCCCCCCCACATACATCCTCTCTTCCTCTGTCCTGGTTTTCAGTATCAGAGGGTCCCTATCACCTTTCGTGATGACTTTTCAGAGACTGGGGCTCATGCTTCCCTGAAGTCAATAAAACTTCCTTCTGTCTTAAAGTGGAGAAGGAGAAGACAGAGAGATGCATGGAACCAAAAGATCAAGGCAGGGCCAGGACAGGCTCGCCCGAAGGTTGGCGGGGTTGTGACTGTCCCTCCCCTTTGGTGACAGGGCATCAACCTGTCTGGTGGTCAGCGCCAGAGAATCAGCGTGGCCCGAGCCCTCTACCAGCACACCAATGTCGTCTTCTTGGTGAGTGCCCTGCTGGCACCCGGCTTGGGGTTCTATCACTGTTGTGCATGCACACACATACACACTCACATACACACAGTTCCGCACACACATCACATACACATTCCCACATACACATACACACTCCCACATACACATACACACTCCCACATATGCATACACATGCACACACATATGCACACACACAAACACACCACACTCACATAGGCACATACACTCTCACATATGCATACACTCACACAGCACTCAGACATACACTTACAGACTCACACTCATATACACACTCACATATATACACATACACACATATACACACTCACACACTCACACTCACATAGACACATTCTCACACATGCACACATTCAGACATGTGGTATTGACACATACACACACACTCACACATTCATATACACACTCACATATATTCACATACACACTCACACATACACACTCTCATGCTCACACATATACACTCACACATACATATCACTCACATACACCTTCATATTCTCACATACACATTTGCACATGCTCACATACTTACAGTAACACATACCCATTCATGCTTTCACATTATACATGCTCGCATACACTAACACACATACTCAAATGCACATACACACATTCATACACACTCAATATATATACAAGCTCACTTTTATATAAACACTGATACACATATACATGCTTACACAAACTCACATTCACATGCATATACTCTCACACTCAGCAACCTTGCTTTCTCAGAGCAAAATTCTCCTGCTAGAAATACTGTATACTCTATGATGGGGAAACTGAGGTCAGGACGAGGTGGTCCCTGCTGTGGACATGTGAGTCATAGTTACAGGTCCCCTCCCTCTAGGACAGACCCAACCTGTACTTAGCCTGATGCTGAGAACAGTAGTTACATGGAAGGCATGTGCTGCTGTTTCTATCACAGTCCCAGAGCAGACGTCGCCAGTGGACCACTGCACTCTCCCATGGAAATTCAGCCTCATAATTCCTCTCAGCTCTGCTCTGCAGGGGACCACTAGTGATCAAACCAGAAGGTCCACAGACTAGCTACCTCTGTCCTAACTCATGCCAAGTTCTGTGTTAGTTGTCTTGGTTGATACTGAAGAATTCTAAACCCTTGGCCTGCAAGGTTTAGGATCTCATTAGGGAGATCACAGTCAAAAGCCATAGCTTGTGTGAAAGCTCAATTGCGTGGAAAAGGCGATGAGGGACTTTGTCCAGGGAGATCATTGTGAGGGTTCTGTGTTCAGGGAGGTCTTCCTGGAAGAAGGTCAAAGGTAAAACTGAACCAGAGGGAAAGAGGTCATTGGGATGGGAAGTTGGAAGGAGGGATCTCAGGTTTCTGATCTCGGCTTTGTTCTTTCTTCCTCTGAAACCTCCAGCTACAAAACACGTTTCAGCGTGGGATGGTTCTTTATTCTGGTGGCCATCCGACCCTCCCCACCCTTTACAAAGTGCTTGTTCCCTCACGAGCCCACTTGAGCTTTCAACAACCCGTCAGGAGGAGAGTGAAGTGGGTCTTTGTGTTCCCTTCAGCCAGCACTTAGTAAGCTCCTAATAACTCCGTCACCAGCTGAGGCACGAGGAAGAAGCCTCAGTCAGGGTTGGGTCACACTGGTCCGGTCTGGCTTTGTGCAAGGTGCCACTGGAATAGAGAGGGCCAGGACCAGCAGTTGGGAGAGGCCTTGATTTCCGTTGTAAGTTGGACTGTAGAGGCCATTAGGAAGCCACTGAAGGCTCAGGGGTCAGGAATGCGATGGGAGAATGAGAATGTGATTGGATAACATGTTTGGGAGGGATCATGGATAACAGCCTCGTGTTAAGAGGAAGCAGCTGAAGCCCAGAGAGGTGAAGTGCATTGTCCAAGGCCACACGGCAGATAAACATTAGTTCTTAAACCAAAGCAATATAAGTCTGGTGGGTTTGTGAGTCACGGTTCCTCCTCACCACCCCCCAACTTGCTCCTTCCTCTCCCCTCTGCCCAGGATGACCCTTTCTCGGCTCTGGATGTGCACCTAAGCGACCACTTGATGCAGGCCGGGATCCTTGAGCTGCTCCGGGATGATAAGAGGACCGTGGTTCTCGTGACCCACAAGCTGCAGTACCTGCCACATGCCGACTGGGTGAGGGGCCACAGAGGCCTTTCCAGGGAGGGCTGAGGTGACAGAGACCGTTGGTGTCTCGGTTGCAAAGCAGTGAGACCAGCACGGGGTGACTTCCTGCAGGTCGGGCCACTCAGGGAGGCACGGCATGGCCCAGACTTTGGCCTCACCCTGGTGTCGCTGTCCCCAGCCTGGCCCTGTGGGGACCTCAGAGCTGGCAACAAGCTGGCAAAAAGCAGCAGGCCCTGAGATCCTACCTACCAACCTCCTGCACCTGCCCGGGACAGTGACAAACCCTGGCCTCCGTGAGGCCTCTGTGGCTTGAGGAAGCTGGAGGCTCCCTCTGCCAGCTGAGGACTGACAGAGTGAAGTTCAGATCAAGCAGAAACACGGCAATAAACAATAGCAGCCATCACAGAAACTTCCATATTATTACTAGAGTGTAATTTGATGAGGCCCTACGTGGCCTAAATTCCTGTGTTCCTCAAGAGAGAAGAGTCACTTTTCAGTTCATTAAGCAGCATTTCATTTTTTTTTTTAAGGGAGGAAGGATGATAGGAAGGGAAGGAGGAATCCTTTTTTTTTTTTTTTTGCTTTTTGGGTCACACCCAGCAATACTCAGGGGTTACTCCTGACTCTTCATTCAGGAATTACTCCTGGCAGTGCTCAGGAGACCATATGAGATTCCGGGGACTGAATCTGGTCGGTCACATGCAAGGCAAATGCCCTCTCCGCTGTACTATGATTCCGGCCCCAGAATTTATTTCTAAGATGGAAATCCTATGACTTTCTTTTTTTTTTGCTTTTTGGGTCACACCCGGTGATGCAAAGGGGTTACTCCTGGCTCTGCACTCAGGAGTTACTCCTGGCGGTGCTCAGGGGACCATATGGGATGCTGGGAATCAAACCCGGGTCGGCCGTGTGCAAGGCAGACGCCCTGCCTGCTGTGCTATCTCTCCAGCCCCACCTGTGACATTTTAAACCTGGGTTCTGCCGGATTTCGATTTACATTTGCTCCTGGAAATTGATGTGCCTCCCTCCCCACTGCAGCTCCGTGGATATACTGAGTGGCCCTGCTAATTCCCCCCTCCCCCCACTGCCCCCACACACAAATAAGTCTTCCTTCTTTACAGGGTGAGAGCCTCCCTCTGTTAGGACAAAAATTAATACGAGAAACAAACAAAAAAATCATACTTAAAAGCAAGTTGTTTGAGGCGGAGGAGATAGAACAGTGGATAGGATGCTTGCCTTCCCCACAGCCACCTGGACTGGATTCAATTCCCAGCATCTCATAATATGCCCCAAGTCCCCCAGGAGTAATCCTCTGAAAACAGAGCCAGGAATAAGCCCTGAGCATTGCCAGTGTCGCCCCCCAAAACATAAATAAATAAAAAGAAGCTGTTAAAGCAGGTGCAGAGGGTTTGGGTGTGTGTTTGCACAGTGATGAATGATGGCTAGGCAGTTCAAGCCTCTCCTGAATCCAAAGAAGGCAAAGCCCAATGTGCCCAGGCCCTTGAAGCACTCTTGGACTGGCCCCAGACGCCCCTCCCAAAACCCCAGCCTGGGGAGGGCGGGGTGCAAGGAGACACGTAGGTCTGAGTGAAGAGCAGTTGTACGTGAGTGTGAAACTTGAGTGTTTCCAATAATACGCATCGTGTTGACTTCGAGGAGGCGGGGCCATGCATACTTGGATCCACAGGTCTTTGCCAACCTTGGGGAACCTCCAGGCGCCCTGTGGCTGGCACTCAGGGTGGCATGCCATTAGCCAGTTCCGTGCATGTAAACAGCTGCCACCCACAGAGACGGGGTGGGCACCCAGGCGGCCTGGCCAGGATGTGCCCTGCAGAAACTCCCATGCTGATTAAGACTTGCCCCGCCCCCACTCCCGCCCATTACCCCTTAGGATGGACATAGTTCCGTTGATGAAGTTAGGGCACCTGCTCGCCGCAGTGGCAGAACCCACGATGGTCTGCGGTGGGAAAGGGCTGTGTGTGTCCCTATAAGGGTCCCTGGTCAGGCAGGCATGTGACTGCCATCCCCACTCCCCAGCTAGCCCCCAAGGGCTGGGTCTGTTTCTCCCTTTCCAGATCATCGCTATGAAGGACGGGACCATCCAGCGGGAGGGCACACTCAAGGACTTCCAGAGATCTGAGTGCCAGCTCTTCGAGCACTGGAAGACCCTCATGAACCGGCAGGACCAAGAGTTGGAGAAGGTGGGGGCCTCCGGGAGGGCCAGGGAAGGCTCAGCTAGAGTCTGAACTCATGAAGCCCTTCCAGTTCTCACTGTCCCAGCAAGCCCCTGCACCTTAAGGACAGAGGTGGGAGCTGGGCATGAGTTGGCCCCAAGTAGAGCTTGTATCTGTGCAAGGTTCCAAGGGAGCAGGCGGATACCTTTACCCATCCCAAGATACTCAGAGCCTATTAAGTTGCCAAAACCCATCTCCAGTTGTCTGGGCAAAGAAAATAAAAGAGGGGGATTTTCTGACTCATGAAGGCCCCAAGGCCCAGGGGTGTCCAGGCTTCTGGTGAAATGGGAATCGGATCCAGGTAGGCACACAGAGTTGCCAGAAGCCTGTTTTTACTTCCTTTGCTTCTGCTCCCCTCAGAAAGACTCCCTTGGTGTAGAAGAAAGGAGGGTCATAGGTGGTCTTGGGTTTCCGTCCTCCCAGCTCAACTCTGCCATGAGGGGCTGCATCCCCCCAGGTTAGCCATCATCCCAGCGTTGTCGCCCATGGATCCAGTTCGCCCTGAACAAATCACCCTGACCAAATCATTATGGCCAGAGATGAGGAGCATGACCTTTGACTAGTCCTGAGTCGTGTGCCCACCCAGAAGGGTCACCCCACCTGAGTCTAACAGAGGGGAGAAGAAGTCTTCCACAGGGACCCCAGGGTGCTGTGGGCTGCTGAAGGAAAGTCAGTTCTGGCTTTGTTTGTTTGGGACGTCACCCTGTGGTGCTCAGGGCTTGCTGCTGGCTCTGCACTGAGGGATTACCCCGGGCCGGGCTCAGGGAACCATATATGGTGCCAGAGAAGGAGTGAATTCTGGCAAGACCAACATGTCCATGGGCTGGAGAGAGAGATTACAAGGTTTCAGTTGCATGTCTGGTACGTGGCTGATCTGGACACAATCCCTGGTACCAGTGTCCATGGGCTGGAGAGAGAAAGTACAGGGTTTCAGTTGCTTGTCTGGTATGTGGCTGATTGGACACTATTCCCGGTACCACATGGTCTCCCAAGCATCGCCGGGAGTAACCCCCAAACATCCACAGGGACCCTCCCCCGGTCAGGGGCAGCCTGGAAACCTGATATGGTCCTCCCCACCTTTTCCCTCCTCACCCGCCCACACCCCAAGGACACTGGCCTCCTGTGTCTTTCAGGAGACTGTCACCGAGAGAAAAGTTACAGAGCCCCCGCAGGGCCTGCCCCGCGCCATGTCCTCCAAGGATGGCTTCCTGCTGGACGAGGAGGAGGAGGAAGGTACCCAGGACACAGGCGTGGACTCACCGCCTGAAGTCTAATCCACAGAGCAGACTCTTGGGTTGGGGGCATTGGCAGTGGTGAGAGAGATTGAACTAAGGCCCTTCCCCACGTCGGTGTGCCTCAGTTTCCCCATCTGTCAGTGCGAATAACACTCCCCCCTTCCATCTCACGGCCCCTTGGAAGGATGTGGAGCGGGAGGTCATGGGTGGGTTTCTGCGGCCCACAGAGGAGGCTGCGGAGAGCGAGGAGGAGGACAATCTGTCGTCTGTGCTGCACCAGCGCGCCAAGATCCCGTGGCGGGCCTGCGCCAAGTACCTGTCGTCGGCCGGCGTCCTGCTCCTATCTCTGCTCGTCTTCTCGCAGCTACTCAAGCACATGGTCCTGGTGGCGATCGATTACTGGCTGGCCAAGTGGACCGACAGCACCTTGACCCCGATCCCTGGGCCGGTTGGGAACTGCTCCCTCAGCCAGGTGGGGGATGTCCGTGAGTGAGGGGCAAAGAAAAAAAAATCAAGAAAGCAGAGGAGAGAAAAAGGGGTGGGTGGGGTGCCGGTGCTGAACCCTGGGCCCCCCGGAACCCTGCTTCGTGCTCTGCCCACCCCAGGAGTGTGCTCTGGACCAGACTGTGTATGCCATGGTGTTTACGGTGCTCTGTGGACTGGGCATCGTGCTCTGCTTAGTCACGTCTGTCACCGTGGAGTGGACCGGACTGAAGGTGGCCAAGAGGTTGCACCGAAGTCTGCTCAACCGGATCATCCTGGCTCCCATGAGGTACGTCCCACCCACCCGGGTCCTCATGTGCTGATGTTGGTGTAGGTCACAGTCCCTTCCGCGGTGCAAAAAAGCAAGGGGGCTTGTCCTTATTCAGCGAGGGCCTGCCGCGAGGATAGTTCATCTCCTCACCTCAGCACTGTGCAGTGGGCATCTCCGGCCCTGCCTCTAGCGATGCTGCCCTTCCTGACACAGGTGCCTTCGAGGGGTCAGCTCTGCAAGCCCCACCCCACTCTCTCTGTTCCCAGCAAGTCGACCTGGGGTATAGACCCCACACCCCTATGTCCTGCCAGTAGTGATCTCTGAGCACAGGGCCAGGGGTGAGCCCTGAGCAACGCCAGTTGTAGCCCCAAAACCACCAAAAAGAAAAATACCCAAAACTCACAAAAACTCCCTTTGGCGATAATGAATTCCCTTCATGGGAAGCAGTTCTGAGAGGCTACTGATCCATTGACTGCCCAACTCTGTCTTTGATTTGTCTTTCTTGGAGAAACATTGAGTTTTTAATAATATATAGATTGTTGAACTCTAGCATTGTTCAAATTCAATGTTATGGTCACCATCCAAAGTCTAGTTTCCAGGGCTGGAGCGATAGCACAGAAGGTAGGGCGTTTGCCTGGGTTCAATTCCCAGCATCCCATATGATCCCCTGAGCACCACCAGGAGTAATTCCTGAGTGCATGAGCCAGGAGTAACCCCCATGCATTGCCAAGTGTGACCCCCAAAAAAGCAAAAAAAAAATCTAGTTTCAATCCCCCACCATATAATGGGCCCCATTTACCCAGCCTGTATCTCTCTTCCTCCCATAAGCATCCTTTTGTTCTTAGGATCTGACAGTTTGCTTTTTGTTTGGTTTGTTTGGTTCAAGAGTTTTCCATGTATGAGTAAAATCATACAGTATTGGTCTTTTTCCATCTGACCTATTTCACAGAACCAACGCAGTTTTAAACCACGACAGGCAGGTCGTGCGCCTGGACAGTTCCCAACGCCAGGCCTCACCATCTGACTCTGTGCTCTGAGATTTTCAGCCTCTTGAGCAATCCCTGACCCACAGACACAGCCTCAGAGTTTCCTTGACCTGCCTTTGCCCCAGATCCATGATTCGGAAATTCTCTGGAGGGTCAGACTGACTCCAGGTCATCGCCAGAGTCATGTCAGCCAGTAGACAGGCTGTCCCCAGGGCTCCTGTGTCCCCGACACATGTCCCTCTGGCAGTAACACTGTCCGAGGGAGGACACAGCTCAGCCAGGTGGAGTGGCCACCTCTGAGGGGGAGAGTTTGTGGTACGCACACCCTCTGTGCACTGTGGACTGTGGGAATTCTCCGGGATACAGCCCCAGTGACCTCAGGCCACCGAGGCAGCCACCCACCACAGCCCATTCTGGCTCAGGAAGAGCCCCGAGTGGCTGGAATGAAAACAGCAGGTTCCTCCCTTGGGGCACAGGACGGAAGCCCACATGGGAACGAATGAGTTCATTCATTTCTTAGGTTCTTTGAGACCACGCCTCTGGGAAGCATCCTGAACAGGTTCTCATCTGACTGTAACACCATCGACCAGGTACTCAGGACTGTGGCCTCTGTTCAGAGGCTGGACCCAAACCCCCTAGGAGGGAGCTCCCCCGATGGGGTGATCATACCTTGAGGAGCTCAGTGTCCCCCATGATAACGCTTCCCCATGAAGTCCCTTCCAGAAGGCAACCACTTCCTTTTGGTTTCCCGCCAAGGCCCCTCCCTGACTTATTTCTGTAAAGTTCTAGTATGTTCTGAAGCAAGGTAACTGGTTTTCCGGAGAATGTTCATTCTGATGCAGCCTGTGCTCTTTACTAGGGCTTATGAAACCAAGAGCTGCTTCCTGCTCTCAGGGGCCCTGCAGGCAGCCAGGGAGATGAGACAGATGCCTCAGGGAAGCTGGCCCCTGTACCCAGGGTTGGGCATGGTCAGGCATCAGCCTTCCCTTTCCCATCCTCCTCTCCTGCCCTCAGCACATCCCATCCACACTGGAGTGCCTGAGCCGCTCAACCCTGCTCTGCGTCTCCGCGCTGGCCGTCATCTCCTACGTCACCCCGGTGTTCCTCGTGACCCTCCTGCCCCTGGCTGTGGTGTGCTACTTCATCCAGAAGTACTTCCGGGTGGCATCCAGGTGACGGCCGCTTTGCCCACCCCTGGGGAGGGTGATGGGCTGTGGGCATTGGGGAACCTCTTAGGAGAAGCAGCAGCATCCAAGGAGCCAAGTTCCCTCATCGGGGGGGGGGGGGGGGGGGGCCGGGGACAGAAACAGTAGCCAACTGGAGTTCTGAGATCTGTTCCCCCTGAGAGGACCGTCTGCCTGCCCCCATCCTGCTGCTCCCTGGGCTGTTCCCAGGGGAAAGCCAGTGGGGAGAGGAATTGCTGGATTTGGGGGTATGCAGACACGCAGGCACTTCCTTCAGTTGCCACCTGCTTCCCTGGAGAGATGGCAGAGGCCAGGCAGAGGCGCATGGCTGAGGCATGAAGCTGGGGAGTGCTGGGAGGGCTGTCAGCCACCCACACCCCCCAGAGCCTGGATGTGTGGGTGCCCCTCAGCTCTGGTCCTGGGCTACGTGCACCCTCCCAGGCCTGGCTGCCTGTGTACCTTGATATGAAACACCTTCTGAGATTGTTCTCTGGGAAGTTCTTTCTCAGAGCCAGCCTGATCAACGCCCAGATTCAGAGGGTGGTAGGGAAATCTTTAGAGAACCTCCAGTGTTTCCCGAACTGCCAGACAACCTGGGAGGGGGTCCTGGAGTCATAGGTCACAGCAATCACTAAAAAGAAAATGAGAGGGCCTGAGAAATAGGAGGGTACATTAGGCACTTGCCTCGCACATGGCCGACCCCAAAACAATCCTCAGCACCCCACATGGTCCCCAGAGCCCTACTTGGCGTGGTCCCTGAACACAGAGCCAGAAATGATCCCTGAACACAGAGCCAGGAATGATCCCTGAGCACTGCTGGGGGTGACCCAACACCCAACTATGTTTTTTAAAAAAGCAAACAAACACACAACTCCCCCCCCCGCTCAAAAAAAAAAAACATTTTTTAATGAAAAAAATTTAATGCAGTAGAACAGAAAATGGGGCTGGAGAGATAGCACAGACGGGGTGCTTGTTTTGCATGTGGCCAACCTAGATTCGATCGCCAGTATCCCATACGGTCCCCCATGCACCACCAGGAGTGATTCCTGAGTGCAGAGTCAGGAGGAGCCTTGAGCATCATTGGATGTGACCCCCCAAACACACACACACACACACATACACACACGTCTCTGTGTATACATATATATGTATATGTGTCTATATAATATATACGTGTATCAGAAAATACTAGATCATTCAAAAGTAAGCTTTGCTTTGTGAAACCTCTGTTCTGGATTGTGGGGGGAGTGTGACCATCACTTCACAATAGCAAAAGTATTTCGCATCGCAGACTCTAGTCTGAGAGGTTTCGTGCCTTTCCCTTGTGTGTGCAAAGTCAGTTAGAAACCGGAGTCAACTTGCTGATTAGCCTCAATGATAGTGAAATTTAGATACATTTGGACTGTCACTCCCTTGCCCACAAAGCTCAAGAGTGGTATAAATGGCTTTTTGCTCGAGGACCCAGAACCACCAGGTGCCCCTGGGAACACACTGGGCCATCAATATGCACACACTCACCATAGCCCTCAAAACAGCGCACAAGCAGTTCTACAAAGTTCCTGCCTCCTGCCAGAAGAAACCTCCCTGTTCCCTTGGCACCTACTCAGACTCTGGGGACAGTTTATCCACGAAACTTGCTTCGGGCCTCCCAACCTTTCCTCCCTGTGCCAAGGCGCTGGTCGAGGTCAGCCAGGGTAATTGATGCTATTGCCATGGAAACCTCCAGCCACCATCCCTCCCGTTATTGCTCCTTAGAATCTGGCCCTGGGGTTGGTCCCCACCAATGGGGTGGCTCTTGGGGTAGGGAAGATTAGCTCAGCGCTTGGTCCTTCTGGTCCTGTGGATCAGGGACATGCAGGCAGCCAGCCGGGCTTCTGGCCCAGTTGGGCTACGTTGCCAGAAGTGCAGAAGGTTAGGTGTGAGGCCACAGGTGCCTGGCGTGACAGGAAGTGTCCCTGTACGCTCTGTTGTGACGCTTCCATAAACCAGCTCCAGCGCAATCCTCACCGCAGTTTGATGAGGTGATACTAGTGTCCTCCCTCAGTGAGAAAAGGAGGCCTGGAGAGGTGAAGTCACTCTCCTCCCTCTGGGGGCTGGCCGCGGGGAGGCGCCCGAGCCTCCCTCCCCTGACCTATCTTCCTCTGCTTCCCACGCAGGGACCTGCAGCAGCTGGATGATGCCACCCAGCTTCCCCTGCTCTCGCACTTTGCCGAAACCGTGGAGGGTCTCACCACCATCAGGGCCTTCAGGTATATGGGGTCATGCGGGGAGCTGCCAGGCTGCCACAGGTCACGAGAGGTCATGCTCCTGAGCTCACTCAGGAAGGCCCAGGAAATACCTCTCCAGGCCCAGGTGCTGCCCACAGAGGGTGTGCCAGTAGGTTCTGTGTGAGTCAAAGAGGAAAATCCTCGGCCCCGCAGCCAGGCCCAGCGCTGCCAGAAAATGAGCAGAATGTGGAAAGACACAAGACTGAGCAAAAGAAATATAGCACAGCGGGTAGGGCGTTTGCCTTGCACACGGCTGACCTGGGTTCGATTCCCAGCATCCCATATAGTCCCCCAGCACCACCAAGAGTAATTCCTGAGTGCATGAGCCAGGAGTAACCCCTGTTCATCGTCGAACGTGACCCAAAAAGAAAAAAAAATGTTCATCTATCCGTGCCCACAGGGGTTCTTCCAGCCCAGGGGTTGGCCCTGCAGACCCCTTTAACAGAAACCATGCTCAGTGTTTCCTGTAACCGTCTCATTCACTCTGTACCTGCAACCCTAGGGGGAAGCACGCTTACTCCCATTTCACAGATGGAAAAGTAAGCCTCAGAGAAGTTACAGGACTTCTCTGTACAAAGACCCACAGAGCTTTACCTTAAACCTGCTCATTCATCCAACAGACATTGATCGAGGTGGGGAGATAGCTCAGAGAGTTAAGGCACAAGTTTGGCACAAGAAAAGCCCAGATTCGATCCCCAGAATCACAGCAAGTACCCCCAAGCAACATGCCTGCAATAACTCCTGAGACCTGACGGGTGTGGCCCAGAGAACAAGAACAAATTGACTGAGCACTCACCATGTGCCAAGACCCATGCCAAGCCCTAAAGACAGACGTGAGTCACATGAGTCCCTGCCCTGGAGACATTTATAGCCCAGGCTTTGAAGCAGCCAGGAACGCTTCATGTGACAGATACTCTGCGGTCACAGTATGTTCCCCTGCCAGGTTAGTATGTGACAGATACTCTGAGTAAAGGAGCGAGAACGGAGCACTTCCGTTCAGAAGAGAAGCAATCACGGAGGCCTGCATAAGGACGTTTCATTGGCACTAGGATTGGAAGGGTCCAAGAGAGTTCACTAGGTTGGAGAAATTCTCTGGAGGCTTCGGTACCTCTGCTCTCCTGTGCCCTGATTTTAGGCTGGAGTGGCACCTCTGAGGCAGACTGAAGAGTGGCATAGATGCTGTTTTCCACCCCCGCCCAGGCATCTCTCCTTAAGGCAGACAGGCCAGAGACCCCTGACTCATATACTTCGGTTTTGGTCTCTGAGTCTCCCCTGACGAGTATTTTTAGCTTGGCACAGCTGTGCAGGGTGTGAGAGCAGCCATGTGATATCAGCCCGGTGCCCAGGAGTAATCCTGGGGCTCAAAGGTTCCACCAGGAGAGGGGCAGGGAGACGAAGGTCTGCTCTCCCCAGCCCCTGCATTCCAGCTGCGGCCCCTGGCGAGGTGTCCAGGCCTCTGGGGCAGCGCTGCAGCCTGTTTCTGAACTCCAGGAGCTGGTAGGGGGCTCTCTGGGTCTTGTGTGAGGAGAGGAAAGTCCAGCAGAGACTGGCCTGGCCTGCCCCTCGACCTACCTGCCCCTGTGCTGGGTGTATGGCCCAAGGGTTTTCCAGCCTCTTTTTCTCCTCCAGCCCAGCCTTAACACCCAGGTCTCCAGGCACCCCAGGGCCTCCCTGCTGCTCTCAGAACTCTTGGCATCCATCTCATTATTTCTGTCCCAGAGGCCTTTAGGGCTGAGCCTGGGCCAGAGAGATTGTGACTTCCCCAGAGTCAGCCAGAGCCCCCTCCAGGAATGCTGGGTGGCCCCAAGGGTCCTGTCCTCAGCCTCAGACCTGCCCAACGGTCAGCACAAGGAACTGCTACACACCCCAGCCTTGCCTCCTGCCCTCATGCATGTGGACACTGGTTTTCATTATCCCAGCCTGTGTTTGTTTGTTCACTGGCTTCTTCCCGCCACACTTACCACGTACTAGGCAAGGTGCTAAGTACTGTGGTTTAAGTACCGTGTGTGTCTCTGAATGAGTGTGTGTGTGTGTGTGTGTGTGTGTGTGTGTGTGTGTGTAAACATGGAGACTATGGCATCAGTGTGAGGAGCTGCATCCTGCAGATGGTGCCCAGCCAGTGAGAGCCATACTGGCCCACAGACCCAGGCCTGGCTGGCCCTCTGGTTTATCTAAGAGGCCCCATTTTCCTCAAAGTTCCAAGAATACTCAGTTTGGTACACTCAGAGCTAAGCTCAGACCTCCATTCTGTCTCCACATGGGACCCATTTGACTGAGGGGGGAATGTGAGTCTTACTCCTGACACAGACAGAAGCAGGTAACAAGATGTGGATGTTGACTGCAGCCTACACTGGGGCTCTTCCCACTGTCCTCCCTGTCACACATCTGTCCCTCAAGTTAGACCCTGAGGTTCTCAGCCTCAGAACCTCCTGTCTCCACCCATGAGTGCACACACACATACACACAGATATACACACATGCATGTACACACATATGCACACATGCATACACATGCATACACATGCACAGATGTGTATGCATGTGCATATACACATTAACACATGTGCACGCACATGCATATACATGTGCACACATTCATAAACATGCACACACATGCATATGTGTGCACACATTCATAAACACATGCACACACGTGTACGCACATGCATATACACATGCATGCACATGCACACACCTGCACGCACATACATATACATGTGAACACATTCATAAACACATGCACACATATGCATATACGTGTGCACACATTCATAAACACATGAACACACATGCACACACGTGCACACACATTCGGTTCACAAACCAGCCTCCATCTGGACATATTCAAGCAGAATAAACACCTAGAGTGTAAAGCCAGCGCCCAGCCAGGCACCTCTGCATTCCCAACAGTCCCTCTGGTTGGGCCCCCTGAAGTGACTTTCACACATTCCTTTATTCAATGTCCAGGAAGTGCTCCTGCCTCTCCCTGGGCCTGGTCCACCCCTGCCAGCTCTTACAGGAGTGGCCAGCGAGCCCACCTGGCCAGAGAGAGGGGCAGGGCCAAGCCTGGGAGCACAGACAAGAACATGATGAGGCGCAAGGACAGAAAAGGGCCTGCAGGGCAATGTCTGTCCTGGGGGGGACAGGAGGGGCTCACCCCATCTGGCCAGCACAGCGCCAGGCAGTGGGCATGCACGGATGAGCAAGAGTCTCGGCAGGGAGCCCAGATGCGTTGATGGCTGGGGTCAATGAGCAAGGTTACGAAGCACACAGGCCTGAGAGGGCCACTAGTGAGGAACAGAGAGCAGAAGGCACAGCATGGGCAAAGGCCGGGGGTGGAAAAGCACTGAAGCTTGTCACTGAACTGGAAAAGAGCCATCTCCCAGGAATGTGTGAGCACAGGGGGTGCCTTAGCTCAGGGCTGCTCAGGAAGGGGGCTCTTTATTCTTAAAGCAGCAACGGGAGGCCAAGGGTCTATCAGATGGGGCTGAGAGGCTGTCATTGATGATTGACAGGGGTGTGCTGGTGGGAGGGGCAGGCAGAGGGCTGAGGAGGCCAGCAGGTAGCCCAGCAGGAGACAGATGCGTCCTTGGGGGCTGGAAGGTGGGGAGGGCAGTAGGCAGAGCACCCCGCAGAGGGAAGGGCTATTTTTAGAGAATGGAGAGACTTGCTGAGGAGCTGGATGTGAACTCCCATGGTACTCGTGTTTTTGGCCGAGCTGCTGGGTGAAGGGAGGTATCCTGGAGAACCCTAGAACGAGGAAGCCCAGAGAGGAGCCAGATCTTGCCGTAAAGAAGAGCCAGGGGCCAGGGTGTAACTTGGTGGCAGGTAGAGTGCAGGGCCCCTGTGGAGGACACAGAGACCCACTGACCGGAGGTTTGGAAAAGACCATGGTGAAGCCGGAGCTCTCAGTGTGCTTGAATCACTTAGAGGGGGCTAGGAGGCATCCCAGAGAGAAACGCCCAGCCCCAACCCCAGGCATAAGGGGGCAAGTCTGGTGGCTGGTGCTGCAGATCCCCAAGAGCTCCCTGGAACGGGCTGTTTCCTACTGCCGTGCTCATCTCCCCCCAGATACGAGGCCCGGTTCCAGCAGAAGCTCCTTGAATACACAGACTCCAACAACATCGCCTCGCTCTTCCTCACTGCAGCCAACAGATGGCTAGAAGTCCGCATGGCAAGTGCCACCTTGGAGGACTGGGATGACGGTGAAAGCAGGAGCACACGGGGAGAGATCACGGGCACATGGGGAGAGATCACGGGCACACAGGAAGAGATCATGGGCACACAGGAGAGATCATGGGCACACAGATTACAGGCACACATGAAGAGATCATGGGCACACACGGAGAGATCACAGGCACATAGAGATCACGGGCACACAGGGAGAGATCATGGGCATACAGGAAGAGATCATCGGCACACAGGAGAGATCACGGGCACACAGGAGAGATCATGGGCATACAGGAACAATCACAGGCACACAGGGAGAGATCATAGGCACACAGGGAGACATCACAGGCACACGGGGAGAGATCATGGGGACATGGGGAGAGATCATGGGCACACGGGGAGAGATCACGGGTACACAGGAGAGATCATGGGCACACAGAGATTACAGGCACACACGGAGAGATCACAGGCACACATGGAGAGATCACAGGCACACAGGAAGAGATCATGGGCACATAGAGATCACGGGCACATGGAGAGATAATGGACATACAGGGAGAGGTCATGGGCACACACGGAGAGATCATGGGCACATAAAGAGAGATCACGGGCACACAGGGAGAGATCATGGGCACATAGGAGAGATCAAGGGCACACAGGAGAGATCGCACAGGCACACACAGGAGAGGTCATGGGCATACACGGAACAATCATGGGCACACAGGAAGAGATTACGGGCACATGGGGAGAGATCACGGGCACACAGGAAGAGATCACGGGCACACAGGAAGAGATCACGGACACACATGGAGAGATCATGGGCATATGGGCAAGAGATCATGGGCACATTTGAGGACACACAGTTCCTTGCCCTTCTCCAAACCACGGTGGTCCTCCCAGGGGCGGACCCACAAAGCCCCTCCTGGGTCCTTTGTATAGGCCATGGGTGGCTAGGGGAGGTAATTCCTGAGCCATGAAGAATTGCCTCTAAGGCAGGTGGTGTCTAAACTGTACATTCTGGGTGAGGCCCAGGCTGGGGTGAGGACGGGAGCCCAGCTGGCCACTCACCATGCCTCTGGGGCTCCGCCTTTGCTGGGCCGTGTGTGTGTGTGTGTGTGTGTGTGTGTGTGTGTGTGTGTGTGTGTGTGAAGAGAGAGAGAGAGAGAGAGAGAGTGCATGCAGACATGTGTGTGTGCATTTGTGTGTTTGCGTGTGTGTGTGTGTTTGTGTGTGTATGTGTCTGACCGGGTGAGTGATGGGGTTCAGGCTGAGACTCCGGGTCCTGTGGCCCCAGCCCCCAGCCCCAGGCCAGCTTCTCCCTCCACAGGAATACATCGGAGCATGTGTGGTGCTCATCGCGGCCGTGACCTCCATCTCCAACTCCCTGCACAGGGAGCTGAGTGCCGGCCTGGTGGGCCTGGGCCTCACCTATGCCCTCATGGTGAGTGGCCACGGGTAGGCAGGGGGCAGATGGGCCAGTACTAGGGAAGTGATGGGGACCTTCCCCAACACATGCTTCAGGACTCGCCCCTGCCGGCTGTGAGAGTTGGCTGAACTTCCTGCTGCTGCAGAGACCAGGCAGGTGAGGGACCAAGTCCCTGCTGCCTCTCCACCAGCCAGTGGGCAACCAAGGCCCAGCCCCCAACCCCCAGGCCCTCCTCAGCTGGGGGAAGTTGGTCACGTGTACCCCCTCTCACCCCAGGTCTCCAACTACCTCAACTGGATGGTGCGGAACCTGGCAGACATGGAGATTCAGCTGGGGGCTGTGAAACGCATCCACGGGCTCCTGAACACAGAGGCCGAGAGCTACGAGGGGCTGCTGGGTGAGGGCATGGAGAGAGCATGGGGAAGAAGGCCCCATCAAGGGCTGGACGGGGGGAGGATGGAGCCTTTAGGAAGCTCTTCCTGGAGACCAGCTGTGGTCCAGGCCTGCGTGCTGACCCCCAGCCTGACCTGCAGCACCATCACTGATCCCCAAGAACTGGCCAGACCAGGGCAAGATCCAGATCCAGAACCTGAGCGTGCGCTACGACAGCTCCCTGAAGCCGGTGCTGAAGCACGTCAATGCCCTCATCTCCCCAGGACAGAAGGTGCGTGGCGGGACAGGGAGCCTGCACCCTAAACCCAGGTCTCCAGGCTCCGGGACCTGCACCCTGACCAGACACCGGCCAATGCCCTGACTTCTCTCTCTTCCTGCTGTCTCCTCATCCCTCAAAACAGAGGTGCTCTGGCTTAAAAGGCTTTGTCAGGGGCTGGAGCGATAGCACAACGGGTAGGGTGTTTGTCTTGCATGTGGCTGACCTGGGTTGAGTCCCAGCATCCCATATGGTCCCCCGAGCAGCACCAGGAGTGATTCCTGAGTGCAGAGCCAGGAATAACCCCTGAGCATCCCCGGGTGTGACCCAAAAGAACAAAAACAAAAAAAAATGAAGGCTTTGTCAGGGTGCCCCGCAAATTGTCAGGGGCTCTCCCGGGTCCCAGGTCCCTGAGCTGCAGAGCAGAGGTCTTAAGGCAGAGAATAAGCTCCCTCCCACCCCATTTGCAATCCCAAGGAGACAAAGTGACCCCTCTCTTGTCTCCTTCCTCATGTCCCTCAGCTCCTTGGCTACCCCTCCCCTGTTCCTCTCCCCCCTCCCCCACTGCTCTCTCACACTCACGTCCATCAGCACCCAAGTACTGGGGCCTGCCTGAGGGGCACACATAGGGTCATCCCTGCACACCACACTTAGCCCCCGCAGCCCATGCCTGCTACAGCCATGCACACAGCTATGCCGGCACCCCAACTCTGCTGCACCCACATCCCAGGCATGCCCAGGCTCACACCCAGAGCAGGAGACAAGCACAAACCCAGCCAAAGAGATGCTGGCCAGAGATGTAGCTCGGGAGAATACCGGGGTGCAGAGGGTCATCTACAGGCTGAGCCCCCAACCCTGTAGAAGCCTGGGGCTCCACCCCCAGCACCGCCAGGGGGATCCCCCAAGCACATAGCCAGGAGGAGTTCCTGAGCACCACTGGGTGTGGCCCCAAAAGCATCTGCCCACCTACCTCCCACCTAAAAGATGCTCTGAGTCCCCAGCCCCCACCCAGAGCCCCCCTAACCTGCTCCTCTCTGCAGATCGGGATCTGCGGCCGCACGGGCAGCGGGAAGTCCTCCTTCTCACTCGCCTTCTTCCGCATGGTGGACATGTTCGAAGGTGAGTGGCCAGGGGTTTGGGGGGGAGGGGACCCCAGGCACCCATGGGAGGCAGAGGGGGTCGCAGCCCTGCTCCTGGCCCATGGCCCCGCTGAGTCCGGGGACACCGTGTGCCCTCCCACCCCGCCACCACCACACAGGCCGCATCATCATCGATGGCATCGACATCGCCAAGCTGCCCCTGCACACGCTGCGTTCGCGTCTGTCCATCATCCTACAGGACCCCGTTCTCTTCAGCGGCACCATCCGGTGAGTGCCCCTTGACCCAGCCCCAGCAGCGCCCAGGGGTTGGGCATGAGACCAGAGCATGCAGCTGCGGCTCCACCCCCAGGACCCCGTAGTTCCCCAGTACCGCCGAGGGGACCCCCGAGCACAGAGCCAGCTGGGTGTGACCCTAAACTCCCTCTCCCTCCCCCCCAAAAAAGATGCTCTGGGACCTCAAAGCCCCCCAGAACCCTCGCGGCAAACCGGCTCCTACCTGCAGGTCAGGGTCCCCGACATCACCACCCACGCAGGCAGGGAGCCCCGCGTAGACCACGTCCACTCTCCCCGCCCTTCTCTTTCCTGTCATATCTGGGCAGGCACTGGTGTGGGGCACCCCGACCCTCAGATCTGGGGTGCCAGCCAGCCAGGCCCCGCCCGGTCCTCACACCGGGTCCTTTGTGGACCTTCCCTTGCCTGTCCCTGTCCAGCTTTAACCTGGACCCGGAGAAGAAGTGCTCGGACAGCACGCTGTGGGAGGCACTGGAGATCGCGCAGCTCAAGCTGGTGGTCAAGGCACTGCCCGGAGGACTCGGTAACTGGCCCTGGCTGGGCCCTGGAGGATCCTACAGGGGCCACTACACAGGGGAGGCACCATGTCTTAGATGGGTCCATTCCCTTGCCCCACCCCCCCCCCACCCCACCATTCAGGCTCAGCAGACAGAAGCTGAGAGGGTTGCTGGCCCCCCAGGTCACGTGACTGCTCAGGTCAGGGCTGGCCCCCTGCAATGAGGGTAGAGTTAGAGTGCAGTGAGGCAGAGTCTGCAAGTCTTCGGCACCACAGCAGTCCGGGCAGCCTTGGCCCTCCCTGTCCATCCCCTCCCTCCCCTGGAGGAACAGGAGGGCAGGTTGTGAGCAGTTCCAGGCTGTGGTCAGCAGTCCAGGCTTCAGAGAAGACGGCTACGCCTGCCATCAGCAGGGCTTCACTGTGTTTGCTGCTGGTGGGCTGATGGTCCTCGGCCCCAGGGCACAGGCCCCCCAGGGCTGGTCTGGGTCTCTGACTGCAGCCTCATCAGACACCGGATTGGCTAAGGCTCCTGACCACACACACACACACACACACACACACACACACACACACACACACACACAATGTGCCTGAATGCACACTTCCCGACATCCCCTACTGCACCCTCTCCTCCACTCAGAACTCAAGGTTTGCCAGGGCAGTGTCTCAGAGGACTAGAGCATGTGCGGGAGACCCAGGTTCAACCCCTGGCACCACACAGACCCCTGAGAATAAGCTGGGAGTGACACCCACCCACCCACCCCTGAAAAAAGCACAGGATTAAGGAGACCTGCTCACCCTCTCGCTGGGCTGATTTCAGACGCCATCATCACTGAAGGCGGGGAGAATTTCAGCCAAGGCCAGCGGCAGCTGTTCTGTCTGGCACGTGCCTTTGTGAGGAAGACCAGCATCTTCATCATGGATGAGGCCACAGCTTCCATTGACATGGCCACGGTCAGTCCCTGCTACTTCTGGTAGTGGGCAGGGCAGGGATGGACATGGCCAGAGCTGGGTTTTGCCACTTCTGATGGTGGGTGGTGAAAGAGGGTCTTGTCCAGGTTGCTGGGGAGAAGTTTGCACCAAGAGGTCTGTAAACCTCAAAGGCTATCGATGATGATAAGAGCAGCCTGGGGGACCCTGATTCCAGCTCACCTTCACACACACAAGCTCACCGACTTCACTCTACCACCCACAAGCTTCCCTCAGCACCCACACCCAGGCTCAGAGCTGAGTTCCTGACAGTCTTGACCTGCCCCTGAGCCCTGGTTTGTGCTCTGGGGATAGTTCCATGGTGAGGTGGAGGGAGTGGGGAGATGAGGCTAGAGTCAGGGTCTGACAAGAGCAGAGCCACAAACTGGGGCGCATGTCCCTGACGCCAGAGGAGCCCCATCATGGGCAGGTGAACCAACTGCTGTGACTCCCCCCACAGGAGAACATCTTGCAGAAGGTGGTGATGACGGCCTTTGCCGACCGCACCGTGGTCACCATAGCGGTAAGGGACCCAGGGAGGATGAGGTGCAAGGACTACCCCAAGAGTGGGCATACCTGGGGCTCACCTGCGGTTGGCCATGGAGAAAGGAACCTGGAGCAGTGCAGGGAGCCTGGGCTGCAGGACTGGAGTGTAGGGGTGCACCTGCGCCCCTCATACCTCTTCATCCTGGTTCTGTGGGTCCCGTGAGCCAGGCTGGGGTTACTTGTCTACAGGAAGGAAGTCAGGAGATCTCTGAGTCTGAAAGCTGGGGGGGAGCTGAGGCCTGTGGAGAGAGAAGGTGGCGGGCGGATGAAGCACTGGGGCCACAGAGCCACCAACACCCTTCCCCACCCCCTCATGGCGCCCCCTGTCTCCCAGCACCGAGTCCACACCATCCTGAGTGCTGACCTGGTCATCGTCCTGAAGCGCGGCGCCATCCTTGAGTTCGATGAGCCAGAGAAGCTGCTCAGCCGCAAGGACAGTGTCTTCGCCTCCTTCGTCCGCGCAGACAAGTGACTGTCAGAGCCCCAGGGACCTCCCCCCACCCACCCACTTCTGGTTTTCTAATTGTAAATCACTTGTAAATAAAAAGATTATTTCCTACAGGAGGCCTGGTGTCCAAGGGTGGGGTGTGTGGGACCAGCCTGACCCAGACAGGACCATCAAAGGAGTCTAGACGCATCTAAGGAGAGTCTGGGCCCACCTGAGAAGAGTCTGGGCCCACCTGAGGAGAATCTGGGCCCACCTGAGGAGAGTCTGAGTCCACCTGAGGAGAGTCTGGGCCCATCTGAGGAGAGTTTGAGCCCATCTGAGGAGAGTCTGGGTCCATCTGAGGAGTCTGGGCTGCAGGTGCTTCAGCCCTGACAGGAAGCAGCCTGAAGCCCTTCCCTTAGCTGGCCACTGGCAGGAGGCCCTGGTCACACCACAGGTGCTTCCCTTAGCAGCTCAGGAGGCTGCAAGTCCAAGGTCATGGGGCTTGTTTTCCTTCTTAGGCCTCACTCCTCAGTGGCAGAGGGTGCTTAGGGTGCTTGTTCTCTCTCTCTCTCTCTCTCTCTCTCTCTCTCTCTCTCTCTCTCTCTCTCTCTCTCTCACACACACACACACACACACACACACACACACACACACTCACACAAGATATGCTCATTGCTGAGATACCCATCATCTTAGATACTGTCACTTTAAATGACAAGGGCCCACTCTTGTCATTTAAAGTGTTTACCCCTCCAGAGTCAAATTGTATATATTCTCTCCAGTAACAGCCCAATGGGGAATGTCAGTCTGTGATTTGGGAGATGCAATTCAGTACAGAAGAGCTTATGACATTTTTTTTATCATTATCTCATCAGATAAAGCCACATTTTTGCATGTAGATTGGTCCTGTTTTGACTCACTGTTTTGTTTTTGTTTGGGAGTCACACATAGCAGTGCTAAGAGCTTACTCCCAGTTCTGTGCTCATGAATCATTCCTGGTGGGGCTTAGGGGAACATGAGTGGTGCCGGGGACCAAACTGAGGCCATGTTCAAAGCAAGTGCCTTAACTCTGGTACTACCTCTCCAGTCAGTCCTCTCAATTCATTTAACTCTTGGATTAGAACTGTGGGGCCTAGGACCCCTCAGATCGGCACTGTTTCCATAACCAGCGGCAGGATCCCAACACAAAATAGCTTATACAGAAATGGGAGTTCATTGGGTTCACTGGGTTCGTTGTCAGAAGTGACTGAAAGATCAGCGTAGCTGGATCCAAGCATTTGACATCAGGAATGTATCTCAATTGTGGCTTCTTTTTTTTTTTTCCTCCTCTGAGACAGATGGTCTCCAGTACCTCCAGCTCACTTCCTATGCCCCTCCCACCACCCAAATGGGAAAGTCCTGAGAGCAAATCTCAATGGGGCCTCTCCCTCACCCCATGAGTGTGATCAGAGAGTTGGCATACAGGGAGGGCTAAGCTGGGTCACAGCCCCCATCTCACCCCCAACCCCAAGCAAGGACCCTGAGCAGTAAATGAGAGAAGGGCGGTCCTGCAAAGAGAAAGCCAGGTGGTTGCTGGGAGAAATCGTACCTCAGACACAGGGGCACCCAAACAACAGCTGCCCTTAGGCTTCCTCTTGGTCCTGGGATGGCAGATGCTCACCTGCCAATCATTCCATTCTCATTTACGTGTTGCTCTCTGAACAGACCCTCCCACGTCCTGGGTTGCAGACCCGGGAGTCTCAGGCCTGCATCAGAAGCAAAACAATGTAAGGAGAATGTCCCAGACATTGGAGAGGCTGCCCAGCACAAAGCTTTCTGGGTGTTCCAGGAGCTGGAGGAGCTCCGAGCAGTGAACTTTGCATGAACCAACAGGCTGTCTGGATTTGCATTGAGCATGAAGGAGTGGGAATTAGCAGGGCAGAGAAAGGAAGGGATTCATGGTGGGGAGAAGGGTGTCTGAGGAGGCACGAGATTCTACAGCCCTGGACCTGGGATGTAGCTCAGTGATGGAGCATCTGCCTTGCAGGCACAGGACCACAGTTCTGATGCCTGGCACTGCCCACATGCCAAGTGTGTACAAAGAGGCATTGCTATTTGCCGTCTCCAGCACACTGCAATCCACTGTGTGAGCACAGCAACCAAGTGTCCAAGCTCCAGCTACCTCCACCACAACAAAGGGAAGGGAGACAAAGGGAGAAGAAAGATCAGAGTCTTAACTGCCAGAAGAACTCAGAACCCCCAGAGAAGGGGTGAGGACACAGTGTCCCAATGGCAGAGTGAGCAGGCTTTCTTCCCAGCTGAGAGCTAGGGAATCCCCATTCATATCCCAAACCAAGGACAGCCCTATGCTGGTATCTGCTTTAAAATCATCACCCTTGCCTAGTAGGACCAAGACCTGGGGTACATCAAGTGTACGAGCCAGCCCTAAAACAACCCTTCGGCCCCCTTGCTTCTCCTATATAAGGCAGAACCCAGCCTGCCCAAGGAAGGAGGTAGAAAGCCTGGACCAGCAGTTCAACCTCTCTTTAAAGTGCAGGGGTGGGGCCGGAGGGGATGGCGTCAGGATGGAGAAGACGCAACCAACCACCCCAGCTTCTGGGCTGCAGCAGTCAGCCGGGCCCTCTGGTGGGCGTTAACCGATGTTCTTACACCTACTAATGTTCATTATTCCCCCTGCCCGGGGAGGGAGTTCTCCACTCGCATCCGCTTCTCAAAGGAGGGCCCGTGACTCAGAGAAGACGAAGAGCATCCCCCGAAGAGGAGACATCTCATCTCGCTCAGCCAGTCACGGGGCCGCCCGGAGCCGCAGCCCCGCTCCGTGCCCCTTTCCCCAGCTCTCCCCAACGCCCAGCGCCTTTGTGCCACGCCAAGGGGGGGGGGGGGGGGCAGATATTGACCCAAGTTTCAGGACCTTGGGGAAGGGGAAACGAAGGTGACCGGGGTTGCGCCCCCCCCAGACAGGGAGCGCGGGTCACGAGTCCTTCCACTGCCCCCTCCCGCGCGCCCCAGTTCCTCGGGGCGTGGGCCGGACGGAGGAAGCTCTCCGGGTCCATCTGTTCCAGCAAACCCCCAAGGCGAGCCTGAGAGTCGCAGGAGGCCGGCGGGGAAGGGAGGGGAGGGGAGGCGGGGCCAGCACCGGTGCCCGCCCCGCCCCTGGCACCCGACTGGGTCGGGCTCCCTCTGGCGGCCTCAGGCGCCCCGTTCCACAAGGCGCGCGCCCCCAGCCCGCTATCTTCCACCCCCCCCTCCCCGCCCAACACCTAGCACCCGTCTCTCTCCACGCGCCCACCCAGACGGACGGACGGACGGACTGGAGCAGGGCCCGCGCCGACGCCCGGGCGCCAGGAGGGGGCGGGGAGGCGGCAGCGGCGGCGGCGGCGGCGGCTGCTGGAAGCGCCCGAGCAGGTGCCGCGGCGGGGACGCGCGCGGGCCTGGCGGGGCGCGGGGCGCGGGCAACCGGGTGGCGCTGGTGACCTGGGGGTCGCGAGCTGAGCAGCCGGGGAAGGGGACTGGCGACTTCGCGGAGCGCTGAATCCCCGGGAGACTCAGGACAAACAGACAGAGCGCTGGAGCGGGGTTACCCCCCCCCCCAACCTCCACCTCCCCGAAACGCTACGGGGACGCAATCCCAGCCACGGGGAGGTGAGCGGGTTGGAGTAGGAAAGAAGGGACAGCCCGGGAGGTAAGACTGGGAGTCGGGGGTGGGTCGGCTCATGACACTGAAGCTTGGAGGGGAGCCAGGGGGCAGATATGGGTGAGGCGGCAGGGGACCGGGCCGGGCTAGCGTGAGTGAGGTCTGGCCAGCTAAGTAAGATCCGGAGAGGAGAGGTCACCTTCCTCGAGGTGGGCGCTGAAAAGCCAAACTAAGAGGGGTGAGGGGGTCATAGCCGGGAGGCCTGGGGGTGCCAGGGAGTGGGGCAGTGTTGAGTGGGGAACCAGGACCAGGTAAGGAAACGGTTGGGTGGGGGACTCCAGGACCGGGCAGGAGGGCCAGGGCTGAGGCTGCTCGCAGGTGGAGGTGAGGATGAGGCTGGGTGCGGAGATGGCTCAGAAGTGACACCCGCACACACGCACACACGCACGGACGGACGCACAGAACAGCGTGCCCTAGCAGGGGAGCGCCCCCGCCAGCCAGCGAGGCCCTAGGCTCAGGTCGGGGACGCCCCCCATGGGGGAGGCGTCTCCCCGCCGGTGGCTGGCACCATGCTGTCCCGGAAGGGCATCATTCCTGAGGAGTACGTGCTGACCCGCCTGGCCGAGGACCCCGCTGAGCCGCGATACCGCGCGCGCGAACGCCGGGCCCGTTTCGTGTCCAAGAACGGCAACTGCAACGTGGCGCACAAGAACATCCGCGAGCAGGGCCGCTTCCTGCAGGACGTCTTCACCACGCTGGTGGACCTCAAGTGGCCGCACACGCTGCTCATCTTCACCATGTCCTTCCTGTGCAGCTGGCTGCTCTTCGCCATGGTCTGGTGGCTCATCGCCTTCGCCCACGGGGATCTGGCACCCAGCGAGGGCACCGACGCCGCCTGCGTCACCAACATCCACTCTTTCTCCTCCGCCTTCCTCTTCTCCATCGAGGTCCAGGTGACCATTGGCTTCGGCGGGCGCATGGTGACGGAGGAGTGCCCGCTGGCCATCCTGATCCTCATTGTGCAGAACATCGTGGGGCTCATGATCAATGCCATCATGCTGGGCTGCATCTTCATGAAGACGGCGCAGGCGCACCGGCGCGCCGAGACGCTCATCTTCAGCAAGCACGCGGTCATCGCCGTGCGCCAGGGCCGCCTCTGCTTCATGCTGCGCGTGGGCGACCTCCGCAAGAGCATGATCATCAGCGCCACCATCCACATGCAGGTGGTGCGCAAGACCACCAGCCCTGAGGGCGAGGTGGTGCCCCTGCACCAGGTGGACATCCCCATGGAGAACGGCGTGGGGGGCAACAGCATCTTCCTGGTGGCCCCGCTCATCATCTACCACGTCATCGATGCCAACAGCCCGCTCTACGACCTGGCCCCCAGCGACCTGCACCACCACCAGGACCTCGAGGTCATCGTCATCCTGGAGGGCGTGGTGGAGACCACGGGCATCACCACGCAGGCCCGCACCTCCTACCTGGCCGACGAGATCCTGTGGGGCCAGCGCTTCGTCCCGATTGTGGCCGAGGAGGACGGCCGCTACTCGGTGGACTACTCCAAGTTTGGCAACACCGTCAAAGTGCCCACGCCTCTCTGTACTGCCCGTCAGCTGGACGAGGACCGCAGCCTGCTGGACGCAGTCACCCTGGCCTCCACCCGCGGGCCCCTGCGTAAGCGGAGCGTGGCTGTGGCCAAGGCCAAGCCCAAGTTCAGCATCTCTCTGGATTAGCCAGGCTCCCCCCCCCCAGGACCCCGCCATTGGTGTGTCTGTCCACGGGCAGTGTGGTGTGGTATGTCGCGTGGACATAGTGTGCACCCCTCTCCTGCCCCCGGCCACTTCCGGTCCTGAGGTGGGGCCGGCGCTCTCAGTTCAGCCTCGCCCATGCTGCTCCATAGTCATGACGCTATTTCTGGCCGCTGCAGGTTATTTTTGTCCCGGCTTCTTCCTTCCCAGCTCAGGATGGCTTGCCTCCTGCGAGGGGAGCTGTAGGAAGGGTCAGGCACCTCATCCTGGACCCCCCATGACCCATCAAAGCAGCTGGGCAGGTCTGAGAAAGAACAGGGTCTGGGTTGGGCTGAGCGCAGCTCTGTGGTGTGTGTCTCAGAAAGAGGTGGGGAGATGGCCAGTGGTGATGCGTGTTTCCCCCAGGAGGACTGATGGTGTCTCTCCTGCACAGAGAGGTATGAGGGACAAGGTTCCCCTGCACAGACTTTGGAGGAAACGCAAAGGGTGGAGAGGCACCCTGGACCCTGCCCTGGCATCCCCTGTGTGCTAGGTCCCACAGAGATGCCTGCTGCTTTGTTCTGGCCACTCAGGACAGACAGCTAAAGAGGCGAAGAGAGAGGATCCTGGCCCACCGCACTTGGGGACCCTCATTCTACAATCCAAGCATCTCTATAGCCGCTGCCATTCATTTTCCCAGAGGGGAACCATGGAGGGTCCCTGGGAAAAAAAAGGGACCCGTGGGAAAGTTCAGGAGGCGTGAGTGAGGTCCCCGGAGCAAGGAGGTCCTGGGCCCCCACAGGCTTGACCCCAGTTGAGACTCTTGGAGCAGCGCTGTGTGTCCTGGCCCAGAATTCTGCCTTCTCTGTTGTCAATAAATCCCCTTCATGACCTAAGCTCTGGGCTGTTCTTGCTGGGGGAGGCAGGGAGCCTGTCCGGGGACAGAGAGGGCAGATGCTGGCAGCTGTGCATTCAGGAGGTGCCATGAACCTAAGACTGGCCCACTTCCCCTGTTCAGAAAGACTTTTCAAATCTTTCTGCGTCAGGTCGGTGGCCCTGCCAGCCTGTCCAACCATCTCAGCCTTTGGGCACACACCAGGTTTAAAGCCCGGTGCTGCCTCCACCACCAGGGAGCTGGAGGACCGAGGGGCCGGGAGGGAGGGTCATACAGCACAAATACTTGCTCAGACTGCCGCAGCTGGGAGCATGCCAGCCCCCGCCCAGTTCTAATCCTGGCTCTAGTTCTCAGGCGTTGGCCAAGTCATAACCTCTCTGTGCCTCAGTTGCCTCATCTAGAACACGGCGATACTAAGAATACCTACCTCATGGAGTTGTTGTGGGAGTAAACGAAAACCATGTAAAGTGCTTGAAGTGCCTGGTCCTTGACAAGTGCTCAATAAATGTTACCTATCGTGATGGTTACTGAATCAGCCACAGGATGAGACAACAGATCCAGGAACAAGAGAGGAACTTCAATTCTCTTCCCTCCTGGGGTGGTGAGAGTTTTGATCTTTAGTACAGCCCCCCTCCGAGCTCAGCCCTCCCCACCATGGCTAACCCAGTATCTGATCTTCTGGCCTCTGTGTCTCCCCCTGCAGGTCACCTGCAAGCAGTACAGAGCCACTTTAGTAAGGGGACTGCAACCATTCCGCTCATGTCAAACACTCTCAGTAGTTCCCCAACGCTGGATTGAGGGTATATTCCATCCCAGTCATTTGGGCTTCACCTGCTTTCAGGCCTCGCCCTCAGCCACCCCTTAGCTGTCATAGCCCCTCATTGCAATAACGTTTACTGTCCTAGCCTCAAAGGTATGTGTGTGTGGCTCTCTCCCCTGGATTTCCCAGGTCTCCCTCCTCTCTCTTGAGACCCATGTCAGTCCCAGCCCAGTGATGCCTCACTAAGGTCTTCCCTGCTTCCTCGCAAAGAGATGGTCCCGTCCCTTTCTTCCTGTTGGTGGGATTTTTACTTTTGCCTTTCTTAGGGGGTTGGATGGATGGATGGATAGATGGATGGTTGATGAATGGATGGACAGATGGGTGATAAAAGTAATAATGCATGGGTGGGTTAGTGCATGGGTGGGTAGATGAGTAGATGGATGGGTGGATGAATGGATGGGTGGATGGATGCATAAATGGGTGGATAGATGGATGATGGTGCAGAGGACTAGAAACCTTTGCTGTGGTTTGAGGCCTCCCAAGGGCTTTGCTGCATCAGTGGGAGTTTCTCACGCCCCTCCAGAGGCAGAGCCAAGCAGCCAGGAAGCTGCTCCTGCAGGTCTAGTCAGTGAGCTTGACCCTCTCTGCATCCACAGTCACCTTCCTGACAGACTGATCTGTGCCTGATGTAGAAGAGATGAGACGTCACTCAAAATCCTCACAGGTGAGGGCATGCCTGGTTCTCAGCTTGGTGCCCTGAGGGCCAGACTCACCTTCGGCAGTGCCATCCTTAGGATCCCACCTAGAGAAACCTCCCCGCCCCCCCCCCCCCCCACACACACACACCTCCAGTGGCCGCTGACAGTAAATAAGCAGGACTGTGGGTTCAGCGCCACCTGCTGACCATAGGGGAAACTGACCTGATCCCAGGAAACCAGAGCCACCAGGTCCTACTTCCTAGACTTCCTGTGGGACCCCCTCAGCCCCAAAGCCTGACTCAGAGAGGATCTAGATGGGAAGCAGCGTGCCTTGGTCCAGCTTTGAACTGGGTGATCCTGCTCACCAGTAGCGCTTGCTCCCTGTCTCTTAAGGCACTAGGTTCTTTTTTTTTTTTCTTTTTTTCTTTTCCTCTGGGTCACACCCAGTGATACTCAGGGGGTTACTCCTGGTTTTGCACTCAGGAATCATCACGCCTGGCGGTGCTCGGGGGATATAGATGCTGGGAATTGAACCCGGGTCAGTCACATGCAAGGCAAACGCCCTACCCGCTGTGCTATTGCTCCAGCCCCAGGCACTGGGTTCTTGAAGCTGGACCTGCAAAGCTGACCACCCCCCATGAACACCCCTCTGCCACAGGCATTAGTCTCTGATATTCCTCCTGCAGAATGGCACAAACACCACCTGAGAGCAGATGAAGCTAGTCCACAGCTTGTGGGCATGCCTGGTCCTATCCCTGGGTTGAGGGGCTACACGAGGCGCTCAGAGTGCCAGGGAAGAGGGCCCGACAGATAGAACAGGGAAGGTGCTGGCCTTCTGCCTGGCTGACCCAACACCGCACATGGTCCCTCACACCATGCCACGAGTGATCCCTGAGCACAGAGACAGGAGTAAGGCCTGAGCATCACTGGGTGTGGCTCAATAACCCAAATCCAAGCCTCCTGCAGGTGAGGAAACAGGACCACAAGTTGCATGAACTTGGTAAAAATCTCGCCACACATAGGTTTGGACCAAGTCCCAAGGCCAAATTCTCCTTTCTCCACAGCGTTTCCAGGGATCTGGGCTTCACGTGGCCGTTCCACTCGGGGCAGTTGGCTGTGTCCACACCCAAAGCAGGAGGGAATATGAAACGCAGGAAACCCCTCCCCCCCACCACCCCTCCAGTTCTGAGTTGAAAGAAAGCTAATGTGCCAGCCGCCTACATACCGCTTAAAATATTCAGGGAGCCACGGGCCCTCACTGATCTTTGCTACAAGGGGTTGGGGGGTGGCAACCCAATGGTGCTCAGGGCTTATACCTGGCTCTGTGCTCAGGGCTCACTCCTGGCAGTGTTCAGAGACCATGTATGGTGCCAGGGGTTGAACCTGGGTCAGCCGTGTACAAGGCAAGCTTAACCCCTGTACCTCCAGGCCTCACTGACATTTTCACTCAGCTGTAAGATGGACCCTCCACTGCCTGTTCCTTGCAAGAGGACGGCAACTCTTCCTTCCAGGGTGCCCTCCCCCCAAGTAGCACTGACAGGGCACCCCGATCTGTCCCCAACTCAGACCCGGTGAGGTACGCTCACGGAGAAGGGAAACCAAGGCACCTTCCTCCCTCAGTGAGCAAACAGCTACTCTGGACAAAGGAGGCTGCCAACTCTCCTGGGAACCAGCCCTGGCCTAGTGCCCATGGCTTTGGCCTCCTCAGCCACCACTGCAGACCACATGTGGTCCACTGAGGTGACCCCCCGCCCTTCCTCACCTTCTCCAAAGGCCGTGCCTTCCCCACCCAGTCTTGCCCTCCAACCCCTACAACAGCTTTTCTGGGGAAGGTCTGGCTGAGGGAGCCTGACAGTTCCCTGGGGTCACCTCAGGTACAAGTGACCTCTATAGTAACGAAACATGCACAAAACTCTGTGATAAAAGACGTGGATTCTGCCACCCAGGTCCTGCTGATGGCAGCCTGAGGCAGCTGCGAAAAACAACAGGAAAAACTGGAGGAAGGAGTGGAGTAACAGTGAGAACCAGCTTCCAGAGGGTGGGTTTGTCCACAAGAATCGAAACCACTGGCATCTGGGCAACAGCAAGAGAATGTGGAGAGGGCACTTACTGCCATGTGGCCAACCCAGGTTCAATCCCTGGCACCCCATGTGATCCCCTGAGCACAACCAGGAGTGATCCCAGAGCACGGAGCCAGGAGCGGGCTCTGAGCATCACTGGGTGTGGCTCCCAGACACAACAGTAATGAGATCATTGGTGTCCTGTGAGGCGCACTGGTTTGGGGCTTTCTGCACCTTCAGGGAAAGAGACTGTTTCCATTCTCCAGGGCTCAGAAGGCAGGATGGGGGTCAGGGGTGGGAGGCTGGACCACTGGCATATAAGCCTGTGTGCACTTGCCCCTCTGTCTGGACCTTGAGTCCTCCCCAGCATGATGACACCAAGGAGACAAAGGACAAAGCAACTAACTATGGCTTGTCTTTCCTTTCCTGGGATTAGTGATACCAAACAAGACCACAGCAGGTAGCAGACTCCAGAAGCTACCTTCAGCCCATGGGTGTCACAGACCTCCCTTCCTGAATGGGGTTTGGCACTCGGCAGCACTGACAGTAAATAGCTTCTCCTCTGTGGACCCACTGAAGCAAACAAAGCCAGGTCCGGGCCCCCAGCCACTGTGCTCTCTCCACTCTGTTCC